TTCTTCCAAATATCAACACTGTAATTCATGAATAAAAATCTAAAAAACAATAATTTGAGGCATGTTAATACATTCACGAATAATTAATTTAACGCTTCTGTACTTTTCTATACTGAGAAGGGGTAGATTCTATGCCAACTCCGTACATGATACAAAATTATTAATTTGTATAAAATATTATTCGTACAAAAGTCGAAGAGAACAGAAGCAAAAGTAGATCTATATAATAATGTGCAATGTCATCATGACAAAGATGTTTGGGGGAGCTCTGGTTTTTCACCTCACGGAAAGGTGGGTCCTGATCTTGGGAGAGAGAGGGACAAGATAAAGAGACTTGCTAGACGGCCGGGAAACCTGTTTAGAATCTGCGGTCACACCCTCCCCGCTTCTCGAGACGACGACACGCCCGCAAGGTAACCTTTGACCCTGCGTTCGGCAGCAGACGCGATGCGAGCGGAGTGGGGAAAAAGGAGGCCATTTTAATTTACTACATACGACTGTCCCCCGCGGTTTCATGCACCCCGCATAACTCAACAAAATTTGATCTTTTTTTGAATAATTTCCGATTATTTTCCTTCATCATTCTTTGTCAAAGTTAATAGAATCGCATAATTTCACATTTTTGTGCTCAGTTTGCATAATTTCAGATTTTTTTTGAATAAAACCGCAAGGACAGATACTACACTGTACATGCTAGCCTACATGTAATTTATAAAATTCTTCTCGGTCGAAGCCAGCGTCATGGTTGACTGAGCACTGCTGTTTGATATTGATGTTGCGTACTTCTGTGAACAATATCTCACATAATATCATACTTTGAAATAAAAGTAAGGCGGGAAAAAAATTGTGACTAAAGGACGCCGCGCATCCCTAATAATGTCTGATTCACTTATACATGTACTTATAGTCATTTGACGCAGATTCCACAGACAGTTTTTTAGAGAATTTTTAAGAGTGAAGCTGAAGTAGTGCGTACGTGAAAATGTTTAGCCTATTAATGTTGGATAGCCTAAACTTGCAGGGGTGAAGTTGAACATTTTCAAAATACGCTCGATTCAGTTTTGGCCAACTCCCTGATATTTAAAAAAAAAAATTATTATTTATTCGTTTGCTTGTTTGTTTAGTTTAGTTTGGACGGTTTTCCCCCCTTAGACTACGTGTGTGAATACCATCGACATTATCTCGGATATGTTCGGAAGTACATGTTTAGCTCTCAGAAAGAAAGTTATTGTTCGAAACAGATTACGCAGATATAGATCTAAAGCTATGGCGTTGGCATCAGGTGCACTGATGAGCGCAGAAATCTTCTACATGAAAAAGAAGAAAAAAATACAAAACAAAACCCACCCACAACAAAACTCACAACATAGCCCTTGTTATACGTAGGCCTACTGATTCTGTTCAAGGCCAAGATGACAGTTTGCGTACTGAATCAACAGGAACATATGGAGGGAATTATTGTTTTCCAAGACAATCCTTTACACAAACGTGCGCTTTACCCGGCTGATAGTTTGCATTACTCTCTCTCTCTCTCTCTCTCTCTCTCTCTCTCTCTCTCTCTCTCTCTCTCTCTCTCTTTATGTGGAGGGGGAAGAGAGAGCCAGAAAAGGGGGGAGGGAGAGAGAGAGAAAAGAGTGGGAGAGAGAGAAAAGAGTGTTAGAGAGAGAGGGAGAGAAAGAAGAGAGAGAGAAAGAAGAGAGAGAGAGAGAGAGAGAGAGAGAGAGAGAGAGAGAGAGAGAGAGAGAGAGAGAGAGAGAGAGATGCTGCTAAATTAAAGCACTCACTTGTTGCTTCCAAGAACATGTCCTTTTCTCTTTTCTTGAGTTCCTTTTGTTCGTAGAGAGATCGGATAATTTGTTTGTAATCCTCTATGTACTTGACCTGAGAGGAACAGATGAAAGAATTAACAATAAAACGTCTTTGAGTACTTCAAGCACCTTAAAAAAAACAAAAAACAAACAACAAATCAACAAAGAAACACTTTAGAGCACGTGTCATGTTGTGAGTTGTGAGTGCAACTTATTTCCGACTTCGTCGGCTTACTTTTTTAATTTAATTATATTTAGTTAAAAAAAACAACAACAACCTTTTGTGGTACCAAAAACGACAGCATTAGAGGATGGCTACTCTCCTTGCAAAAATAGACTTCTATTGTGTCATATAAGTATAAGATACAACAAGCCATTACGCAAGACCATATTAAGTATTTTTATTTGCGCGTATCCCAGAGAGCGCACGTCGTTCATAATAATGTTGGGTTTTCAAACCCTTTAATAGCTTGTCTAAGTGAAGTGATGAGCTAGTCTTAGTTGTAGTTTTAGTTAGTGTTTTACGGCACTTGCAACGCAATTACGTCATATACTTGCCGAAGATTGCATGTGTTACTAGAGAGTAACAAACAAAGAAAAGAATGAAGAGAGATAATGACCATAGTAGATAATTGATTCTTGATGGGAAAGAAAGAGCAAACCACACCTGAGCACCCGTCAACCATTCACAATTGGTCGCTTTTAAGGACAAGCGGGCTAACCCATGTTTCGGGGGTTTCCAGAAATCTTGACCTTCACAAAAAGTGGGCATTGCCCTACCTACAAGAGAAGTTTGGTTTCTTTGGTGCGTATATTTGTTTGGTTATAGAGAAGGTCGTTTTTTAAGCACAGTGGGGCTATCCCGAAAAACGGTGTTTCGAGAAAATCAAAGGTAAAGTTTTTGCCCCTTGTATAGTTTCTTTAAAAGACCAAGGAGAGTTTTCTCTATAACCAAACACATATACGCACCAAAGAAACCAAACTTTTCCTATAGGTAGGGCAATGCTCATTTTTGGTGCAGGTCAAGATTTCTGAAAACTCCCGAAATCTGGGTTACCCCGCTTGTCCTTAAAAGCGACCATAAATACATGTATAAGCTTTTACTTTTACGACTTCGTTAAAGCTGTAGGCAGAGTTCCCAACCTCCCTTCCAGCTGTTTGTAGACTTTTTCAGTGTTTTACTGGATGTCCATTAGTACGATCTGGTCGGGTAGGGTCGGCTCGGTTTGCTAGCCAGATTGAGGGCGCAAAGCGACTATAGTGACACAAATCGATCACCCGTTTAATTGTTTTCAGTCGACAAGTCGGGCGATCGATCCAACCCGACCCGATCCCACACGCAAAGGGCACCCCGTATTATAGTAATTAGTACGTGTGTACGTGAGAACCACCTTACTTACCATGACGTCAATAAGAACCAGCTTAGTTACCATGACATCAATAAAACTAACCTTACTTACCATGACGTCAATAAGAACCACCTTACTTACAATGACGTCAATAAGAACCACCTTACTAACCATGACGTCAATAATAATAATAATAATAATAATAATAATAATAATAATAATAATAATAATATTAATAATAATAATGAAGGTCATTTCTATAAAATAAAATTTCTAAAAAATAAGAACCACCTTACTTACCATGACGTCAATAAGAACCACCTTACTTACCATGACGTCAATAAGAACCACCGTATTTACCATGACATCAATAAGAACCACCTTCTTTACCATGACGTCAATAAGAACCATCTTACCATGACGTCAATAAGAACCACTTTACTCTGACGTCAATAAGAACCACCTTACTTACCATGACGTCAATAAGAACCGCCTTTTTTAAAACCATGACTTCAATAAGAACCATCGTATTTACCATGACGTCAATAAGAACCACTTTACTATGACGTTAATAAGAACCACCTTACTTACCATGACGTCAATAAGAACCACCTTACTTACCATGACGTCAATAAGAACCGCCTTTTTTAAAACCATGACTTCAATAAGAACCATCGTATTTACCATGACGTCAATAAGAACCACTTTACTATGACGTTAATAAGAACCACCTTACTTACCATGACGTCAATAAGAACCACCTTACTTACCATGACGTCAATAAAAACGATCTTACTTACCATGACGTCAATAAGAACCACCTTACCATGACGTCAATAAGAACCACTTTACTATGACGTCAATAAGAACCACCTTCTTTACCATGACGTCAATAAGAACCACCTTACCATGACGTCAATAAGCACCACTTTACTCTGACGTCAATAAGAACCACCTTACTTACCATGACGTCAATAAGAACCACCGTATTTACCATGACATCAATAAGAACCACCTTCTTTACCATGACGTCAATAAGAACCATCTTACCATGACGTCAATAAGAACCACTTTACTCTGACGTCAATAAGAACCACCTTACTTACCATGACGTCAATAAGAACCAGTTTGCTTACCATGACGTCAATAAGAACCACCTTACGTACCATTACGTGGTAAGACTTGTTGCGGTCCGAGAAGATGAACTGCAAGCAGCGTGGATAGAGCCATACTTTAACCCCAGAGTTCATCATGTCCATTTCATACCGGCATTTACCTTCATTGGTCTGAAATATACAGACCGAGGAAGGGTTGAAATAAGACCCTGGTCACACTCTCACAAGCGCACATAGACAAAATGAAAGAAGAAAAAGGACATACATGAAATGCATGTGTGATTAGGGCTTTTTAAAAAAGGACATTTCTAAGAAGATGACCAAAAGCAAAACGTTAACCTACAAAAAAAGAAATCAATAATAAACCATGTTTGTGAATGTCTCTCTCTCTCTCTCTCTCTGTGTGTGTGTGTGTGTGTGTGTGTGTGTGTGTGTGTGTGTGTGTGTGTGTGTGTGTGAGTGTGTGTGAGTGTGTGTGTGTGGGGCAATCACTCTCGATGTGGCTAGCATTTCTTAGAGTCTCCTCGAATTGTTTATCTATAGGGGGTAAGAGGGTCTAAGGACAAATGATTTCTAAGTGGCTTATGCAAATAGATCAAAAGTGTATTGTATCGTATATATCGAATTGTAACAGATAAAGCATGAATTGAATACGAGTCATATATCATCAACTAGATGTATATTTTTTTGTTCCCCCTCCCCCGA